AAGATTATAGAAGAAAATCCTACAATTAACCAAGATTTCAAATACGCTAGAATGCTTAACTAATGTCAATTTCAAGTAAAAAAATTCATAATTTACACTAACGGATGACAAATGAAAGAATTAAAAAATGTTAAATTTAGGTGTGAAATTAGTTTTGCAGAGCTGTGTAAATAGTTTATTTTGATGGTGAAGGTGATCAGTGTCCCTACTTATTAAACTTCACAATGTATTTTTTCTCAGAAATGTGACATAATAACCTGTGAAATGTGTAATTGCCGCATACATGAGAAGACAAAATATTTGAATAACACATTGGTACCTAATGAAGCCAACTCAGTTAAAAAAAAAAAAACAATTATGCAAGATTTTACATTCACTAGAATGATTATTGAAGATTATAGAAGAAAATCCTATAATTATCGAAGATTTTAAATACGCTAGAATGCTTAACCAATGTCAATTTCAAGTAAAAAAATATCATAATTTACACTAACAGATGACAAATGAAAGAATTAAAAAATGTTAAATTTAGGTGTGAAATTAGTTTTGCAGAGGTGTGAAATTAGTTTTACAGAACTGTGTGAATAGCTTATTTTGATGGTGAAGGTGATCAGTATTCTTACTTATTAAACTTCATAATGTTTTTCTCCTCATAAATATCACATAATAACCTGTGAAATGCGTAATTGCCGCATACATGAGAAGACAAAATATTTGGGTAACACATTAGTACCTAATGAAGCCAACTCAGTTAAAAAAAAATAATTATGGAAGATTTTACATTCACTAGAATGGTTATTGAAGATTATAGAAGAAAATCCTACAATTATCCAATATTTCAAATACACTATAATGCTTAACCAATGTCAATTCAAGTAAATAAATATTATAATTTACACTAACGGATGACAAATGAAAGAATTAAAAAATGTTAAATTTAGGTGTGAAATTAGTTTTGCAGAGGTGTAAAATTAGTTTTGTAGAACTGTGTGAATAGCTTATTTTGATGGTTAAGGTGATCAGTGTCCCTACTTATTAAACTTCACATTGTATTTTTTCTCAGAAATGTGACATAATAACCTGTGAAATATGTAATTGCCGCATGCATGAGAAGACAAAATATTTGGATAACACATTGGTACGTAATGAAGTCAACTCAGTTAAAAAAAAAAAAAAAACAATTACGGAAGATTTTACATTCACTAGAATGGTTATTGAAGATTATTGAAGAAAATCTTACAATTATCCAAGATTTCAAATACGCTAGAATGCTTAACCAATGTCAATTTCAAGTAAAAAAAAATCATAATTTACACTAATGGATGACAAATGAAAGAATTAAAAAATGTTAAATTTAGGTGTGATATTAGTTTTGTAGAGGTGTGAAATTAATTTAGTAGAACTGTGTAAATAGCTTATTTTGATAATGAAAGTAATCAGTGTCCCTACTTATTAAACTTCATAATGTATTTTTTCTTATAAATGTCACATAATAACCTGTGAAATGTGTAATTGCCGCATACATGAGAAGAAAAAATATTTGGATAACAAATTGGTACCTAATGAAGCCAACTCAGTTAAAAAAAACAATTATGTAAGATTTTACATTCAATAGAATGGTTATTGAAGATTATAGAAAAAAAATCCTACAATTATCCAACATTTTAAATATGCTAGAATGCTTAACCAATGTCAATTTCAAGTAGAAAAATATCATAATTTACACTAACAGATGACAAATGAAAGAATTAAAAAATGTTAAATTTAGGTGTCAAATTAGTTTTACAGAGGTATGAAATTTGTTTTACAGAACTGTGTCAATAGTTTATTTTGATGGTGAGGTGATCAGAGTTCCTATTTGTTAAACTTCGCAATTTTTTTTCCTCATAAATATCAAATATTAACCTCTGAAATGTCTAATTGCCGCATGCATTTAATACCAATTTTTTTGATAACACATTCATACCTACTGAAGCCAATTCAGTTCTAAAAATCAATTATGGAAGATTTTACATTTATTACAATGACAGATCGATGACAAATGAAAGAATCATAAATTTTCTAAATCTACATTTTTCCGTTCAAAACAAAAATTTCACTGTAAATGAACAATATATTAAATGCACAATATTACTTACCAACAATCAAGCATTAATTAGGTCAATTGTAGATACCACATCAGGTCCATTGTAGATTTCCTTCCTGTAGAAGAATAGTTGACATTGCATTGAGAAATCAGCACACTGCAATCTGGGTTTTGATTCAAAAAAGATTATAAAAAAGTAAGAATAGAGGAGAGAGGAATTAGGGTTTCTAATAAAAAAGAAATTCAAAAGCAATATGTTTTTTTGATGGAACAAAGAGAGAGAAATAAGGGTTTGGAATAAAATGAAAAAGGAAGGAAGGAAATAACAAAAGCAAAAGGGAAGAAGGGGAAAGTGAAACTGCAGAAGGGCGGGGGCGGCAGCTTATTTCAACTTTCCCTCTTTTTTTTTTTCTTTTTTTTTTTTTTTTTTTTATTGGCTTTACAGTTGGCACGTTAAGTTACTGGCAACTCACAACAGGGGACTGTAGGGTAACTCACAGCAGGGGATTTGAGCCCTTGTTGGAGTGGGCAGCGAGGCAGAGCCATGGCCGAATCCGAAAATCCCAGTGGGTTGAAATAGATTGAGGAGGAGAGAGAAGTTTAGGTGACATGTGGAGTTGAGTTACTTCTTTACAGCTAAGTAACTTTTATTACTAAAATATTGAGATCTTTTATTTACGTGGCTTGCTCTTAACCGTTGGATTGACAAGCGAAGGAAAGTATCGAACGCAAAGGAGCCACGAAAGCTGTATAACAAATTTGTTCTCATATTATTATTTGAGTAATGGATTTGATGTCTTTTTGGTGATGAAAAAAATAAATTAATAAATAAATAATGAATTGCTTAAATTTTCAAAAACAACAATAATAATGACAGCAATGCACAGTAGTCCATATACAAAATAAAAATTAAAAATAAAGGGTTCATGCACCGGACAATAGTGTTGTTGATACGTACGTTTGTTTTAATTTTTTAAAATAATAAGAATGACCTTAATAAAGAAAATTTTCTTTGGCAATTATATTGAAAAAGGAATAAAAGAAATTTAAGTTTATATTTTTTAATTTATTTCATTTTTTAAGCAATGAAATTATAGTTTTTGTATATATATATATTTGGTAAATATTATAATTTTTATATTTGAGGAATGGAAAATTCAACTTGATGTTATTTGATACATGCTGAAGGTGCATCCTTGTACGTTGGTGACAGAGACTGGTATTTTCGTTAGGTAATTAAGAAATGAAAGCATCTTCATTTTATAGCTAGTCATCTATCACCTCAATTGCAGTGAAGCGTCCTGCTGAAATTAGTCAATATAACATTTGACATAAATAAATGTATGGTCTGATACATGCTTAAGCTGCCTACTTGGCTTGTCCCTTCTTGTTCTTGTATCTTTTCCCTGTTTAATAAAATTTATTTACGCACAAAAAAAAAAAACGAAATTGTTTAATAATTTTTTTTTTTTTTTTTTTTTGACAAAATAAAATATCAGAATTTTACTTTGGTTTAGAATGGTATCATTTGTTAAATGTACAATTGACCTAGATAAATCATTATATTAAGCAAGATTTTCATACAAATTTAAAAGAAAAACCAAGTATTTTTAAGTATCATAGGTTTGCAATAAAGAAAAAATAGTTGAAAGAGAGGATTGTAGATAAAGATACAGAGTGCCCATTGATAAAAAATAAAAATAAAAAGAGATTAAATTGAAAAGTAAATATTAGAAGTGTGCGACAATTTTAGAATTTTAAAATTTAATCGGTATAAAATAAAAATATAAATGGAAAAATTGAGTGATGAAATAAAAAGAGACACCTATTTGATGAAGATAAGCGACATGACCAATCAACCAAAGAGGTCAAGCACAAAAGGCCTAGAATCATATGTCCTTTTTAGAATTTTAAAATCTTATAAGTAGGGGTGCATACGGTTCCGATTCTTACGGTTCCGGCTGGAATCGGAACCGGAACCGGAACCGGAACCGGAACCGTTCACGACGGTTCCTTGAAAAGGGAACCGGAACCGGAACCGTATAGCATGGAACCGAACCGGAACCGAACCGTAGAAATGGTACGGTTCCGGTTCGGTTCCCATGGAACCGTTAACTCTCAGGCAAGCATGGAGCTTCAGACGGGTTAGGACCGTTAGGTTTCGGCATTGGAAAGAGATGAGCTTGAGAGCTTCGTCGCCGATGCTCGCATATTGCGATCACATTTCAGAGAGAGTTTAGTCACCGCATCGAACCTCGAAAACAGAAACGAAACCACCGAGAGCAAATCGGTTTGGGTGTTGAGAGAGAGACGGTGACGGCTTTGTCCCTCGACCTGAAACCACTGGCGACAGACAAGAGAGCATCGCTTCTGATTACTGGAGCCAAGCGACTGGAATATGCAAGCTAAGCACTCGTTGGAAAGGTTGGAGATGTAGTCGGGGAAATCAGGAGCGTCGGATAATGATGTCCTCAATTGACCAACATGCCGGTGTGGTTAACTCTCAGCAAGCACAAAGCTTCAGACGGGTTAGGTTTTGACATCGGAAGGAGCCTCACACCCAAGAGCTAATCTATCAGTATCATCTCTCAAACCACTAGATTTTGTAGTTTACATACAGTTAGTTGCAGAGAGAGAGAGGGCAAGTTCAGAGTCGAGAGAATACAGATGGAGATTAGAGGCATTTGGGGAGGCTGAGGCTCAAATTAGGGCAAAAAACAAAAAAAAAATAGGTATATATATACATACACGGTTAATTTTATATCATATATATATATAATTATATATTATAATATATATACATACATACGGTTCCGGTTCTTACCGGTTCCCACGGGCTAGAACCGGAACCGGAACCGGAACTATGAGAACCGTGAAAAACGGTTCCGGTTCCGACGGTTCCGGTTCCACGGTTCCGGTTTTTTTGTGCACCCCTACTTATAAGTACAAAATGAATAAAATAGAAAAGGATTTTGCTATTAAAAAAGAACACATCATTGATAGGTAGTCATTATATAAGACAAAACTAAACTAAATCCTTTAGGACTAGGATATTTATTATTAGAACTTTAAAATTGTAGCAAGCACAGCCTAGGTTCTGCAAGAAAAGTACCCTTCAAGAAAGTTTAAGAGAGCACTTTTTTTCACTGCATTTTTCAAAATACTCCACACTTGGAAGTGATCATCATTGTCAGGATCACAACTCTTAAAACACGTTTGTAGTATTTGCCCAGTTCTTCTTGTCATCATGGTCTAGAACATCACAATCCACATAATTAAGAAACCGTTTTGAAGGGTCTGAATCCTTTTCGCAGTATGATTTCCAGCACGATGTATACTGGTCAACTGACGGCAAATACCATGCTGCCCCTATAACCTAGAAGAACAAAGTTGAATCATCAATTCACAAAACAATTACGAAATTCTCAAAAAAAAAAAAAAAAAATTGAAAAAATGAAAAATAAAGTTACAGAAATGTGAGCAAGTGGCACAACACTCGTAGAAGGTTTAAGCTAAATTGGTTAAAAGTATATGGTGACAAATATATAACAAAAAATTGATAGTAATTCAAAATTACAAACATGGTTAGCCAACATGTACAATATCAGATTATATGCAGCCCCTGCCCAAGCCAGTTGCTTTAATAAGTTGTGAACTTATTAGGAAAATCACTGGGAACACACTGGAGTAGAAAAATCAGCTAGTTGCCGGTATAATGAACCAGATGACATTCAACCGACTATTCTCTCTCCTAGTGAACTCTATATTATACTAGAATAAAGATAAAGAAAACAATAGAAGTAAAAATAGGCTTACATAGAATAAGGAGCAGAATGTGATGTCTAGAAATATATATAAATCACAAACTACTTACAAGGATTACTTTGATACAGATGAAATAGAGCATATCTAAATTTCCCCCTAATATTAATTTTTTTTTTTTTAGTCTTATTTTTTTATGCCGGGTGAACAACACAAAATCAGGCTAATTCCTTTCTCCTTTCAGGAATTTAAAATATATTTTTAACTATTAATGATTAAAAAAAAATAATAATAACTAGTAGCCTGTTGTTATGTAGAAAATGATAAAGCCGAGTACCAAATTCCAACATCATCATCAGATGATTCTTCAACTTCGTCCGATTCTTCAACTTTGTCTGATTCTTTAGCTTCAATTCTTTCTTCCGGGACGATCTCATATCGTGGAATCATCGATTGATCACACATGACTTGTGTTTCATAACCTCTCTCGCCGATGGGAAAATTCTGTCCAACGGTCAGATGCGAATCTATACACGCAACTCGTTTAGGTAGAATGTTTCCTTGAGGATATTGCAACGATATTTGATATTTGTCAAATTTTGACAACATATCAAAAATTTCACTGGGTAACAATATTTTTTATATCAATGTAACTTGAAATTGGAATCTAAATTTAAAGAATAAACTCAAATTTTATACTAAAAGCTTACAGATAAAGCTCCATATATTCCCTTGGTGTGCGAGTAGGATGACTTAGCACCTCGATAATTTTTTCATGGTCAATCTCCAATATTATTTGCTTTGCTTCCCTTCTCTGGAGAATTTCATGTATCCCATGATGCACTCCAAGTAAGAATACTTCATCTCTGGATGTCGCATGAGGAAGTGGTTTATGGAACAAATTCAAAATCGTTCCCTGACAATCTCTTAATACTTCTCCACAACCAGCTTCTTTGGTCCCACCAAGATTTTCCTTAAAAAATCCAGAAACGTTTAACAGGTACCACCCTGGGGCTGGCGGATGCCAAAAACAGGTGATTGGTAGGTGTTCTAATAAACTCTCCGGACAACTCTCCAAAACACAAATTCGCTGCTTAAACAAGTAATTATAAATTGTTTTTTTGCACCATTTAGGAATCCTGCGGTACCACTAGACGAAGTCTTCTCTCGAGATATATCTCAACTTGGAAACCCCATCCACATGCCAGTCAGTGTTTCCCCTTTTGTACAACCCATAATTTTCTAAAATTATGTTGTGCTTCTGTTCAACAAAAAGATCTCGGACTCTACAATATTCCTGTTGTTTAATGATCAAACAATATATTAGTTAGAAGAATAATCTTGAAGTATATAAGAGAATAAATAAAAATTATCAAGATATACAACATACAGTAAAATTGTTATATGGAAACGTTGCTCCCTTGATCCAAACAGCACGTGCCATACGAAGATGGAACCCTTTAGGATGATTGAATCCTAAGGAGACATAATTTTAAAACATCATTAAAGGCAAAAATATAGCAACGAATAGAAAAACACTCTAATCACATGAAGCCAAATCTTTCTTGATTGTTTTATGTATCAGGCTCTGTTACATGGACTCTTCAAAAGTAGTGAAGTACCTGTGTCGGACACATATCCCTCGGACATGGGTATGGGATATGTGTCTGACACTTTTGGTTGAACATGTACTTAAAAAGCATATTCAATCATTCAATTAAAGGCAAAAATATAGCAATGAATAGAAAAACACTCTAATCACATGAAGCCAAATCTTTCTTGATTGTTTTATGTATCAGGCTCTGTTACATGGACTCTTCAAAAGTAGTGAAGTACCTGTGTCAGACACATATCCCTCGGACATGGGTATGGGATATGTGTCCGACACTTTTGGTTGAACATATACTTAAAAAGCATATTCAATCATTCAATTACATTATATTATTACTTTAAAATGAGTTAAATGCCTATATTAAATATTATATTAGATAAAAACATTACTTTACTCTCGAAAATAAAATAAAATAATTAATAAAATGAATATTTAGCCGTGTCCGTGTGTCCTTCTATTCGGAGATTTGACATGTCCAACGTATAGATACATACCCGTGTTCGACACCCGAACCTAAGTCCATGTAACATAGGTATTAGGTACAAAAATAGAAATGATAATAAAATTCCATAGAAAAGGGAAGCCATATGTCAAACCTCCCCTAATTATATAGGGAGGCTACGCCATGTAGGCGGCACACGAGTGTTGAGAAAGGCGTCTTCATGGCAAGTGTAAAGATTTTGCGTCTAGAGTCTTCCAGAGTAATATAGAGTGTTGAGGATTCTAGAGCAGTAGAGAATTGGGATGTCCCACATCGCGCGGGGCAGGGCGGGGGGCGGGGGGGTGAAGTTGTTAAGATTTATATGTGTGGACACCGGACACCCACTAACTGTAGATGCGTTCTGAGCAAAATCATGAGCACTAAGAGAGAGAGTGCAAAACGGACAATATCTACGCAGGTTTTGGGTGGGAATGATACAGAATTGTAGAAGAAAATTCTAAAGGATCAATCTCAACCGTTGATGTAATGCATCCTAACCGTCCATTAAGGAGGAGATGCCTATAAATAGAGGAATTGTCTCATTTGTACTCCAATAAGCTGCAAGAGTGAGAGTGAGCCACCCACAAGTTGTAAGTCTTTAGAAGTGAATTATTCCTCTTACCGACCAAAGTGCCTAAGCCTGTGAATGTGAAATCCAAGTAGAGGGTGTGAGACACTACAAAAGGAGTGATGGGCACAATTGGGAGTGTGTTGGTATAAGCAAGTATGGAAGTTAGGTTGACCAAGGTCTAGTCGCGAGGAGGTACAATGCCTTGGTGCCACACGACAGTTTTTGCTCTGGTGGGTGGAGACGACTTTGGATAACAATAAGGAAAAAAAAAAAAAAAAATGAATCAAATAAGTAAAAGCGTGTGAATGTGCAAGCCGAGTGGAGGGCATGAGACACCAAAAAATGAGTGACAGGCACGAGTGAAGTGTGTTGGCACCTTGTTTGGATCATCAATTTGTCAACTTGAATTGACACAGTGTCGTGTTCGTGTTTGACCCATAGTTGTTAAAACCCCAATTCTGGATCTTAAAATCTTACGATTCTAGGATCTCAAATTGCTAAACCGATCCTATCCCATTCAAAATGGCTGGGAAGTAGAATCTCTGTAGAATCACAAGTAGGATCGTTGAATCGCATAGGATACCAATTACTAAATCGTGTTATTTTGTTCTTCTTCCGGATTTATTAGGTTTGACAAAGTTTGACACGACCCGCCAACACGACTCAAAACACAACACGAGTTACGCGGGTTTGGGTTGACCTTAAATAGGTTTGGGTCGTAAATATGTCGACATGATTAACCCGTTTAGTTAATAGTGTCGTGTTTGGGTTGAGAGGTTTAACTCATGTAACTTGTTTATACTTGTTTAATACATGTCATAAACAAAATTCTATTTAAGTTCCAAAATAACTATCTAAACTGGTGTCTTCTAATTTATTCTTTTGTATACTAGAGATTATTTAGTAATTTGGTTGGATTAAAACTTGTATTTTCTAGTATTTATTATTTGATCGAGTATTATTAATAATTAAAATATTATAATGTTTTGTTTCTGTAAATAGGTCATTAAACGGGTTACACGTGTAACCTGTTTAATAAACAGGTTAGGTTAGTGTTGAGGGTGTCTTGGGTGCCTGCAGGGTGCCTAACGCAATTATTAAATAGGTCGTATTCGAGTTGAACTATTTAGTAAAATACCCTTAGGTCGACACGACACGATAATGACCTGTGAACACGAATTGCCACCCCTATGATTTATATGGGCCTACAATTAATTTTAGACTAATAAATTTAATCATTTTAAATATAAAATCCAACTCTTTAGCCTAACTACATTAAAAATTTAAAACAACAACCAAAGAACCGAACGTCAAATGAGAGACGATCGAACTCTAAATATCAAAGGTACGGTTCAAAACTTTAAAATCATCCTTTATTTTGTTTTATTCTTCTTAATTTTTCTTTTCTTTCTTTTTCAATACAAAGAACAGGTTGGCTTTCCTTTGGGCAAACCCATTTTTGTTTCTCCTTTCGTGACCAACGCTTCCCATCTCCAACTATGGGTTCGCCATCCTCAAAAGAAGTTAATGGCGGAGACCAAAAATCCGAAGCCTTCTACACACAACAACTCCCATGACGAAACCTTCTCCCCTTGCGACTGCCATAAGAGCTAGCTCTGACCTAGTTCTCTTTCTCCGATCACGTCAAGTGTCTATTAACCTCACCCAACACCGCTGTAGAAATCCCCACCTGGGCTTGGCCAACCCATCCCCTCTGGATCTCCTCTCCTCTTCCTTCGAGCCCAAAACCAATACTCTAATGGATAAACTTTTATTAGGGCCCAATACACAGCCCTATCTCTCTTCCGCTGGACCAAATTATTAGGCCCAAATCCATCATTGGACTTGTGCATCTGAATATAAGAACCAGTTGACCTGTTGTACGGCCCATTAAGTGGCCCACGTTCCCCCGGCCCAGCCCCTTCCAACACCTTATCCGTAATCTTCAAACCCCTATCCTCTGCACGTACATGCCTCCAATCCACTCCTTCCCTACTCGCCTCCCGCGCGTACATAACACTCCGTCCTTGACCTGGCAGCCATCCATCTTTCTCCGATCTACCCAAGCTCGTCGATCGGACTGAACCAGCATCGGATCTCCGAGACACGAGTCCATTCTTCTCAGAATTCAGAGGTGCCATTGATTTCACCACCACAGAAGGAGCAATCTCCTCCGTCACTAAGATCTTGAAAGCCGAATCTCTATCTTCAACGATCACAAACTCCGGGATGACCCCACCGTCATCCACCGTGATGACTATCTTTTCTGTCTCGCTCTTAGAGACCTTAACCTCCCTAAACCCACCACATAATTGCCCTATAGATTCAAAAAGCTTCTGACACCATAGATGGAGTGGAAGCCCAAACAGCACTATCCTCCTCTGCCTCGTCAATTTCCTCATCCCCAGACACCCAACTCTGTAACACCACAGACCGATCAGCAGTTATGCATCCCCCCAAGATTTCTTTCCCCATCTTAACACCCTATACACTTCCTTCTCCGAAAGGAATCGGAATAGCAGCAACCCATCTCGTAAGTTCGAAACCCTAGCCCCACATAAAATCTGCCAAATCCTTGAAGCCCACTCCTCAATTCCTTCCAAGCTACCCACATCTCTGTCGAATCTCCCAATGAGGCAAGATTGAAGCATCGTTTCCCGTTGGCTCGTACTCTTCTCATCCACCCGAAGAAAAAAACCTCTGTCTGAAGATGTTCGCACAACCTCTCCCTTCAACCCCAAACGTGGCAACCTTGCAACATCCAAAAAGGTCCTCTTCATAACATAATTTATGTATATATAAAAAAATCTTCTTGAAAAATGTGCCCCAACTCCAAATCGCCATAAAGCCCTTTTTTTTGGGTGGGGGGGGGGGGGGGGGTGTTGCCCTTTTATAAGAGATTATTGAACCTGGAGGGGTCGCCTTTTCCTTGGAAGGCTATTTGGAGCACCAAAGCCCTTTAAAGGTGGCTTACTTTGGGTGGACAACAACTTTATGGAGGATAATGACGATTGACAACCTCCAGATAAGATGTCAACTGGTACCGCATGTGTAAGAAGTATGAGAACTCGGTGAACCATCAACCATCTACTCTTGCATTGCCCCGTCACTAGGTATGGATGGGGCATTATTCTTGCCTGGTTTGGTGTTTCTTTGGTCATGCCTTATTCTAAAGATAGCATGCTCAAAGCTTGGAGAGGACACACAGTGGGGAAGCAAGCTTGAGACGCTTGTATGGTTGCACCTCTTTGCTTGTGATAGAATATTTGGGAGAGAGAGGAATAAGAGATCTTTTGATGGGGAGGAGACTCTTATTTGGACACTCAAATTTCTCTTTTCTTATTTTGTTAGTTTTTACTTTAAATGGTCGAAATTGTAAATTTGTAGGGGACATGATGATTTTTTTGTGGATAGTTTGAAGATATAGCATATTGTTTTGGCTGTGAGGTTTGTATTTGGGATGTGCTACCTGTTTGAGCGCTTTTCTATGATGTCACTAACAATAAAAAGCATTAGCATTTCATAATGGATGAGAAATGTAACTTCAACTAAATTTTGCACAACCTTCTAATTCACTTTTTGAATGAAATAATACCTTGTAACTTGCAACCTTTCATGCTCTTTTCATGAACATGACATGAGATTTATTCCAAGTCTAGGTTAGATCATAAACAATTAAGAATTCAAGTACAAATGATTTTTATGAAAATATATATATAAGTAATATTATGCAACAACTATAGATTGAACATACCAATTCCACGAACAAATAGTATCTATGTTTTATGTATTCATTGCAACTACTATTTATTGAACATACCAAATCCATAAACAAATAGTATCTATGTTTTATGTATTCATTGCAACAACTATATATTGAACATACCAAATCTCCGACCAAATAGAATATATGTTTTATGTAGTCATTTGAGTCCAACTAGGATACCTAGAGATAAGATTTATAGATTTCCCCCTCCTCCATATTTTTCTTCTTTTTTCATCTCTTTAATTACAGCGTATCAATCTATAGGAAGCTCCCACCCAAATTCAAATTGAAATTTATTTGAATGACAAATGATTATAAAAAAATAATAATAATAATAATAAAAAGTGCAACATATTACGAGTATAATGCAAATAAACAAAGAAGTTTTGCAATATATAACGAGTATAATGCAACACATGTTAGGTTTCGAGTTCCCAAGGGAAGAGTAAATATTAGAACAATGAAAGTATACAACTGCATCAGGCTCTAAGCTATAAATAGAACTTTTGGATCATATAACTTGTACTAAAATTATCATTAGAATGAAAAGCAACAAAAAATGAGGACACATACGTCATAAACACACTTACTTGGACCCTTAAGGATTGCATCACCAGCTACTTCAGCAGAAAAGGCATTACTCTCAACATTGGTTGCATCATTAACTGCATCAGTATGACTTGTAAACCGTCGCTGCCGGTCGCAAGTGTTCCTCATCATCATTTGGCGCTAACAATACAATAATTCAGTCAGCCAAACTATAAACCTTTTTTTCCTTTTCCTCTTTTTTTTTTATTTTAATAAAGACTTTTACTAAGATCTTCGTATAGCATTATTTAACAAATATACATATATATATATCACATTGTTGTCGAAGACTTTTGGTTTACCTTTAAATTTGGTTTGAGCCTAAATTTGAATCTTCTGTAGGAGATCAAATTTAAAGGGAAGGGCAATCTTATTCAAGCCAAATAATCACATTGATCAAGTAGGGATCATCATCATTTTTTTTTTTTTGATAAGCTTGAGATCGTCACCATTATCCTTCCCTTTATCCTATATAAATGGAATCAGCCATATCTATTCTCTTATTTCATTCTTCACTGTTGAAATCCATTTCTCCCATTATATTTAATTTTTCAATCAAGTCTAATTATTCCCTCCTATATTGGTTAAACTATTTTTCTTTTATTTCTATTGAAACTAATGGTTCATCCATGGATCTAAATTATGCCAGGACCATGGTCCTCCGTCTCCAATTTGCGCTATTTAGGAGAAACAGTCCACCACAACAAAAATACTGTCATGGCCCCTTTGCTGTCTTGGAAAGTCCCAACATAAAATTTATGCTAATATGAACCTAAGGAGCTTCTGTCACTGGTAAAGGTGTGTATAAACCTGTGTTTTGTGAACTTCCCTTCCCAAACTAGCAAATCTGACACCTTCAAACCAGCCTATTCACATCCTTGTACATTCCAAGCCAATAATAACGATAAGCCACCATTGCCATTGTTTTATCCTTACCAAAATGTCCTCCTAACCCATTTCCATGAAGTTCTCTAACAATTTGTTCACGTAATTATCCCTCTGGAATGCACAGCAAGTTTCCTTTAAACAAATACCCATCATGCATTCTAAATGGCAGCATCTTCCAACCTGCAGGACCTTGAAGTTCTGCAACTACAGAGCTGAAATATGGATCTGCAACATGCTGAGTTCTCAAATCCAAACTCCCCAAACCCAAGAACTTGAGTACTCTGTCAACAATAGATTCCTCCGACTCAGAGCATCTGTAACTTTATTAGACTTGCCAGTTTTGTACTTAAGAGAAAATTTGAACACTTTTTGTTTTTGTTTTTTTTTTTTTTTTTTTTTTTTTTTTTGATAAGTAAAAATTCATAAAAAGTGTTCAAAAGGGGAACACGTCCCATGTACACAAACAAAACAGGAATCTATGGACCCAAAAAGTCCAAGAAATCAACAACATGGTCAAAAGAAGAACAGTTTCTCCTCTTCACCCAACTGAAAATGGAATGAATGATATGAAGGTTCAAGAAGGCCGTAGACGCCTCTACTCCCTCAAAACATCTGTTATTCCTCCCTTTCCATATGCACCACCATACGCAATGTGGAATAGTCCGCCAACACTCACGAGCCTGACACCCCACGTGACATCCCCTCCATGTATCAATCATACCCCTTGTGGATCGGAGCATCACCCAAGAAATGCCAAACAATCTGAAAATAAGATTCCAACAATCGTACGCCACAAGGCAATGTAAGAGTAGATGATCAGTAAACTCACCACCCATTTTGCGTAGGCAGCACCAGTTAACAATAATAATGCCTCTCTTCCTCAGGTTATCCAACATCAAGATCTTACCCCAAACGGCAATCCACACAAAGAATGCCACCCTAAGAGGAGCCTTAGAACGCTAAATAGTTTTCCAAGGAAAAGCACAACCAATAAAGTTGGAAAGATACAGAAACATAGATCGAACCTCGAATCCTCCTTGGGAAGAGGGGACCCGCGAGAGAACATCATCACCAATGCCACCTACCTCATGTCGATACAACATATCCAGAAGAGTGCAAGCCTCATCCATCTCCCAATCCTGAAAAGGACGCCTAAAGCGCACATCCCACGTAATCCCACTGCTATCAAGCCGATAGCAATCAACTCCAAAGGCATGTCTATCAGTAGCTAATCTAACAAGTCTGGGAAAAAAACAAGACAACAGTTGGTCTCCACACCATAAATCCTCCCAAAACCGCACACATCTACCATCTGAATCTAATATGAGAGGAGAAAACATCCCATCCCTTCTGAATAAACTTCCACACTCCAACTCCTCCTGTGCTAGGGACTGGGCATGAAGACCACCCACCTCTCTCTTCCCCATACCGACATGAGACAATCCTCCTCCATGGGCAGTGTCATTCTCTCCCAAATCTCCACAGCCACTTGCCTAAGAGAGCTCTATTAAAGGGGATCAGCCTTCGAATGCCTAGGCCACCCATCTTAACAGGCTTACAAATATGCTCCCACTTGACGAGATGGAACTTGAACTCTTCGCCCCTTCCACCCCACAGGAAATCCCATTGAATTTTTTCGATCCTTTCAGCAACAGAACATGGAATCTGGAACATGGATAGGAAATAAGTAGGTAGGTTTGAAAGAGTACTCTTAATAAGAGTGACCCTGGCCCCTTTCGACAAATATTGCTTCTTCCACCCCGCCAATCTATTCTCAAACCTGGCAATCACAGGTCCCAAGTCCCCATCCTTCTAGAAGACTCCCCCAAGGGAAAACCCAAATAATGAATAGGGAAAGAGCTCACCCCACACCCAAGAACTTCAGCTAATGAGGAAATGCCCTGAGCTTCCCAAATAATGAACCGGGACAAGCACGCTCTTGCCAACATTAACTTTCAACCCAGAAACTGCCTGAAAACAAACAAGAATACACCTCAAGTGTCTCAATTGGGCCGCTTCAGCATCACAAAAAACCAAAGTGTCATCTGCAAACAACAAGTGGGATATCTCCACCTGATGAGTTGAATCTCTACCCACTCTGAAGCCTTTGATAAAACCCAAATCCTCTGCCCTCTTCATCAGTCTACTCAACCCCTCCATAACAATGAGAAAGAGAAAGGACGACAAGGTATGAACTCCATTTGACATGTCAAGCATTTAAATTCTTTTGAGAATTCACATACCCTAAGGCTTGATGATCTGAATAAACCACAAATTCTTTATAGGCTAGGTAGTGTTCCTAGTGTTGGATTGCACGAACCAAAGCATAATATTCCAAATCATAGGTGGAATAATGACATTTAGCACCTGACAACTTCTCGTTAAAAATTTCCACCGGCCTTCCTTCTTGACTCAAAACAACCAATATTCATGCATGTGATGCATCACACTCAATAGTGAGTAGCTTCTCAAAATCTGGTAATGTGAATACCAGAGCTTCTGTCATCAATCTTTTTATTTGTTCAAAGGCTCTTTGTGCTATTTTGACCACTCAAAAACATTTGCTTTCAAGTATTGAGAGATCGGACTCATAATAGAGCTGAAGTTGCGAATGAACCTCTTATAGAATGAAACCAATCCATGGAAACTGCGAACGTCACCCACAGATTGTGGTACTGGCCACTCCTTAATAGCTCTTACTTTCTCAGGATCAGCTTGCAAACCGTCGGCTGAAACAATAGAGCCAAGAAACACAACTTTGTCGCACAGAAAAGAGCACTTTTTCAAGTTTACATACAGCTTCTCCTTACAAAAAACCTCCATGACTTGGCGCAAATGAACTAAATGCTCTTTACTTGTATGACTATATATTAATATGTCATCAAAATAAACAACCACAAATGAGCCTAAGAAAGGTTTGACTACCTCGGTCATAACTCGCATAATGTGCTCGGAGTATTGGATAGTCCAAATGGCATCACTAACCACTCGTAAAGTCCATTCGGAGTTTTAAAGGATGTCTTCCATTCATCACCACTCCTCATACGAATCTGATGATACCCACTTCTTAAGTCTATTTTGGAGAACACCTTGGACCCCACTTACATATCAAACATATCCTCTAATCAAGGGATGGGAAGCTGGTATTTTTCTGTAATTTTGTTGATGGCACAACTGTCTACGCACATCCTCCATGATCCATCTTTATTTGGTGGGTTAGCAATGCTGGAACAGCGCAAGGACTCGTGCTCTCACGCACAAAACCCTTAACAATCAAGTCTTCCACTTGCCTTTGAATTTCAGCTCCTTGTGTGGGTGGCATTCTATAAGCAGGAAGGTTTGGTAAAGCTACACCAAGCACCAAATCAATAGCATGTTGAATACTCCTCATTGGTGGCAAACCTCGTGGTAAATCATCACCAACCAGCTCTTGGAACTCCATCAGTATATGCTGAATTTCAATTGGAAACTCATCAAATTTTAAAGGTTGGTCCTCTTGTACTTTCTTAGCAACAAGTGCATACATAGTAACATAACTCCAATCTCCTTGCTCTCAAGTTCAAACTTTTGGGCTGTCAAAAACCCATTAACTTTGGCAGCCTTAGGAATGTCGGTGATTTCTTCTTTAAGTGGCTGCAAAGTCAACTTTTTCCCATCTTTATGAAACGAGTAGGAATTGGCTCTAGTATAATGGATCATGTCTTTGTCAAATAACCATGGCCCTCCCGCTAAAGATACGAAGGCATCCATAAGAAAAACATCACACCAAGCTTCATCGTTAACCGTATTACCCATAGTGAATTTAACCAAACACCGTGAAGTAACCAGCACGTCATTCCCCTTTAGGAACCATGCAACCTTGTAGGGATTAGGATGCTTCTCAGTTTGTAACTTGAGTTTGTCTACCGCATCCTGCAAAATAATGTTTTCACTACTTCTTCCATCAAGAATCACGTTACATACCTTTCCACCACAAAGGACTCATGCCCTGAATATATTGTGTCATCTCCAGTCTTCTTCCTCGACTTTGGATGTTGTCATCACTCGTCTCATCACCAAAGGCTCTCCTTTTACCAGGAAAACATCAATAACTTCCTCTCCGTCATCATACTCATTAAAATACTCGTTCATGTAATTATGTTTCTTCATCTTCAAACTCTGCTAAATTCACCCTTCATTGTGAACAAGCGTAAGACGTGTGCCCCTTCTCTCAACAAGTGAAACAACGAACTTTAGAAGTACTGCCACCCTTT